GAATGAAACTAATCCTGTTAAAGCTCAGAAATATGCATGACTCAGTAGTCAAAGCCACGTGCGTATCTGCCCTTACAAAGTTTCTGTCCCCCTTCATTGTCCAAAAGCGCTGTGTTGCTGATTTGTAAATGGCCTCTTTTGCCTTAGTTTTCTTGCCAGAAACAAAGTCAAAACATTTCATCCTAAACTTTTTTTTTTTAATAAAAGAAGCAAATACATCATATATACCATTTGGACAAAGTCTGAAGTAAACTCAGCAGCATATGTCATGAACATTGTGCAATTCTATTGCTTTTATAACTTTTTTTTCCATTATCTAGCTCAATGCTCTGCTTCATTCTTCCATCTTGTAAAGAGACTAACAGTATTCTGTAAATATTTACTACGTAGTCTTGCCACGCTGGAAGGGAAGAAATATTAACTTTAAAGAAAAAAAAAGTAAATATATATATATATATATATATAAATTTTATACCACGTGCCTAGAAGAATAATAGAATGATTTCAAATCTCAGTGCAGTTATGAATGCACTAGGTTTCAGGTATCAAGAGAAAATAACCACACATTTGCTCTCTAATTTCTAGTTTCTCAGCTATAAAAATGAAAACAATACACAATCTTTCTAAACTATGGAAGAGTACAATACATCATATTGACTAAAATAAACTCTACTACTGCAAGAAATTGCCAAGATCCACAACAGAACATATTTTTTTTAAATAGCAGATTGATAAACCTCAGCCAGGAGAGGACAGCACAGAGCATAAGCCAGCTCCTGCAAGAAGTTCTCTGAGCATTGGAATGGATGCACACTAGGAAGAAACTTGCAGGGTACTTCATATGGCATAACTAATGTTTTCATCCATAAATCTACCATCTCTGAGAGCTTTTCTCTCTGAAAGATAAATTACCAAAAAAAATAAACCAGACAACCCTTGAGATGTTTTCTCCTAGTTTGCACACACACTTAAGGTACATAAATGCCAGTGTTGTAGCAGTATCAACCAGGACATCACACACTATGCTAAATATAAAGAAGCAGAGAAGCCTTTAACCTTGATTTTCTCAGTATCACAGACTATCAAATAATACATTATATTTACATTGTAATAGAAAACCCTTGAGGTTAGAAGAAAAGAGACTGGAGAGGTTTGTTCTGCCCCTGTACGCTATGGGGGCAGACACAACAAAAGAGAACGCCTGGCCCTATTAATAGTCTTAAAGCAAAAGGAAGAAAACTAAAATCTACTTTTCATGATGGAAGAGAGTACAACCTCTAATACAAACATGTAAAAGGCAGGAACAAATTCTAAACCAGTAACTCCACTGACAAATATAAAAATAACAATTCATCCTTTCTTACAATAGAATTACATACTTATTTTCATGCTGCTTGAAGGTAGGAACATCAACAAGCAAGAGTGTTAGTGGATTTTCAACGCTTTTCAATACTGCAAACAGGTATATACACTGAGCCTTGTTTGATGTCTTGATGACACCTGGAATTCTCTAAGAATATACTTAATAGCTCAATGAATTGGCACTTTGTACCTCAGTGCACACAATAGGATGATTTAAATGAAACCTGAAACAACTCTGTTTCTTGGTTATGTGAAGGTTGATTTTGTTTCAATATTAAAATAAGTCTTTAGGAAACACAAGGGCACTTAAAATGTTTATAAGTTTATATACATTTCAAGATTTTACAAATTTACAGCAGTCCCACTCAGACTACACCAGTGTATCTGTATCTATTTATACATACACAAAACTCCAGAGAAGTAAAGTTTTGAAGCAGATCCAAGAGACCTGTGAAGCTTCCCACCTGCCTCGTGAGCCAGACCTGCATTCTCATGGCCAGTACCAATACACAACTAGTATTTTGTACTGTAGTTATGAAATTGATGGATGCCATCCCTGTGGCAAGATTCCAGTGCTGTGCTATTTTGACCCTCAGACTTTACAATTCAGTTTCTTAATTCCACTAAAACTTACTTTCTATCCTGAATAAGGCATGAGCACTCAGCACTGGTACATATGGACTCTGCAAAACTTGCATACAACCCTCTTTTTATTCCCTCTAGCAAGCACATATATTTAAGGAATATCTTTATGGTACCTCAATTTCTGCAGATTCAGATAAAAAGAACATATATATTTATTAAACACATTTTTATGCAAGACATTCGCCATCCTTAATCTGGAAGCCAATATTTTTTAGCATATGGTATTCAAATTCACAAATAACAAGTTACTATTATAAAATTATTTCAACTGCACATTGAAAGATGCAAGTGTATATAAAGGTATTTCGAACAGTTGTTCCTCCCTAGCCCCATGTGCTAGATATTTTATGAACACATTTCACTCTGAACAGTTATGCAACGACTAATTACTTGAGGAGGTAATCTGTACTCGCAATATAAAAATGTAAAGAATCATCTAACCAACGACTTAACATATTTCAGTTGGAACTAACCTCTCTTGAATACAGCAAACCAGAGTGATAAACAAGATGAGGTCTTATCATAAAAGCTTTACATAACGATACTAATACTGCCTCACCTCAACCTTAAAACGTGTTAGGTAATATACCACTACAAGTATTTGCTTTTTAGATGACTGTGTTACATTTAGTAATTTAGACATGCTTCCTGCTCTTGCTGCTGCCTTTTACTACTTCTGTGCCAGGATTTCTATGGCCATCTATGGATTTATTTCAGCATTCTTCATCAACCAAAACTAAACCAAATGACAGATCATTTTCTTCACAAATCTAGAAAGCCTTGGAAACAGCTTAAAACAGAAAAATGCAAGAAGGAGCCACCAGTTAGATTGGGCAAAGCTGCTGTAAAACTGAAACATCTGTTACTATGTAATCATGAATCCTTCATGATCAGGAAGCTCTTACTCTCCTCGTTTCTAATCAGCTGATGAAATACATGCTAGATACTCAAAAATCGGCTGAAGGTCCAAAAAGCTGGAAAAAGACTGACTGAAGTGAATCTAATGAACACCTCTGTTTCACAATCCAGGTGAACAACAAAAATTCCGAGTAGCATCAGATCTGAGAAAGAACAACTTAGGAAGCAAGACACCATAAAAACATTTCCCATGTGTTTCCAATCAGCCATGCACCTGCATTTTACATTTTAGTAGTTAATCTTAGCTTCCAGAGAAAATGTCAGGGAAGACAGTGACAGTTGTTGTCAAAGTCAAAATACAGTATTATTTTAAAGCATGTTGTCATCTTATAGAAAAAATTTAGACTTGCTTGATATGACTGTTCTTGCAAGTTCGTTAGCTATTACCTCTCTCTTCTGTCAGGTACAAGCTTGTCCATCAGTTCATTATACAGAAAACCCATAGAAATTAGGCTGACCAATGTTTAATACCCATTTTTAAAGATCTATCACTCTGTGTTTTTCCCACCTTACACAGCTTCTGCCAATTCTTTTGATTATTGTAGAGTAAATCTGCACATTTTTGAACCAACTGATGAACAGATTAGAGTACTTTCTAACCTGACCTTTCCTTGTTGTAGAAGATCCTGCTCCTTTCCCATTGATGTTGGCTGCATTAGCCACAGACTGCAGTTGAACTTTTCAGTGAAGAAATATGCAAAGATTTTTACAATTTTCCCTCTTTACAGTAAGCTAAAAACCTATTAGCTACCAAAGCAAGCCTTGTCTACCCAAGACAAGCCTTTCATAACTAGTATTGGAAATCTGTATGCCTCTCTATCCATTACAGAACCAGTTACTTAGTTTGGTATAAATATCAAAGTCAACACACAGCTAATGCCTTCCTCTTCCATGAAAATTATTGTCTTTGTAAAATACTCCCAAATAAAGTTACATTCTCTATTGGAAAAACAAGAAGCCAAGAGAAATAACTTCAGAAACAATCCTCATGGCTTCCAGAAACTCACTTAAAATGTCTAATAAATACAAACAAAAAACCCCAGGATTCATTATTCTCACAAGCATCAGATACTACAAAGTAGCTGCTTTCTCAGGAACAGAATGAGCTTAGCATTATCTTTGGTTTTGTATTGAGCTAGTCTGTGTTGAAAGCTGTCAAACCAATCAAGAAAAGGGTTGTTATGGTAAGCTACAGATAAAGTGACATTTTACATAATCTGCATTGCTTGTCTGTTAATGTTAGCTTTATTATTTTCCTTTTTTAGCATTATGTAAAGATGAGATAGTAATGAACTGAAAAGGCAAAGAGGAATGCAGCTGATAGAAATTTCCATCCCTTCTTTCAATTTCAAGAGACAATTAATTGACATAAGTCAATGTACTTGACTTCATTCTCATAAATAAAGCCTAGTCACAAAGCCACAGTCACACCTTATTCAAAGCAAAAGATAATAGCAACTGTCAAGCTGATCAAACATTAACATTAGTAGGTAGAGTAAGCCTCAATTTAAGATTTACTGAAAATGGTAATGTGTTCCATCTACATACCACAGACAAAGCAATAATACATGACAGAGTTTTTAGCCATTGCATACTATTTAGGACAGATATTTGTATATATCATTGTGTATACCCAACAAGTTGAGCTGCAAAAGTTGCATTTGTCTGATGTAACATAACAGTGTGAAAATTTCCTAGAAATAGCTAGACAAAAGTCTAACAAGTAACAGCCTGCGACACATGTCAAAAACACATTCATGCTAGAAAAGACACAAACTAGTTGAAGACAAAGCCCTTCTAAAATTGAACACCAAGGGAAAGGCTTGAGTTAGATACAGAATCTCTGAAACCTAGCTAAGACAACAGAACCATCTGTGTTCTTCCTACACTTATGACTCTCCCAAAGAAACCACTAACAAGAACAGGTAAACTGAAAAATAAACAGCCTGCTGGGTCAACATAAAATCAACATTATCAAATGTAGAACTGGAACAGTTCCTTAGTAGTTTTACTTAAGACAAGAATTACTGTAACTGTTGCAAATGTTCAAGTAGAAAATTAAAAATAGAATTTACCTTTGAAGGTCTCAAGTTCCTTCCTGTTGAAGAAAAGCAAAATTAAAAAAAAAATTATTATAAATACTACATCTAGAACTACAGGAGATATTTTACATGGTTTAAGACTCATTAAAAGATAAAAACAAAGAATTTGACTAGCATCATATATAAGGGTAATATTACTACATGTGTTCATCTAAGGCAAACACTATTAACCTGTTTAGAAATTAGGCTACCAGTAATTTATAAACATGTACAATTATACAAATATTATACATTTATATGTAGTCACATAATTTCTAGATATACTATTGCAAAAATAACCAAAACTTCTTAATGCTTTAGGTAATAAAACATCCACTGCTTAGTAGAGCTTTGCCCATTTATAGCACAGTAACTAACAATTAGTGTTCTGTTTTCACTAACGCCATACAAAATCCTTTTGGTAACAGTCAAGGAGAAAATTCTAACAATATCACTCGCTCAGTTACAACACACTTTAAGGGCAACAGAGGCATATAGTGACATTCCTCAGAGGAGAGGATTTTAAAGTACAGAAAATGACAGATAGCCCCCAATACTCACATACAAGAAAGCTAAGAAATGAAATTAATGGCAATAGTATCTTTTTTGCTTCATATCAGGCCACCTTCCACTTTTAGTAGCTATGCAAGTGTGAATGCAAATGCTATAAAACCAAGGAATATTTTCCTGGTTTTTAAGAAATTGCAAAATGCTCCATTTGCCACCACTACAGAGCAGTAATTTGTCATTAATTTAGAGGCTAAAGAAGAATCAAAGTAATAGCTCAGATAAGGCAGAACACTTGCCTTTTCTTTACAAAATACTCTTTTATAGCAAAAATCTTTTCAGTCTGTGCCTCATAGACTGTCTGAATTTTGAAAGCAAAAGTGATAAGAAAAACAAGTTAAAAAAAAAGACTGAACCAACAGTTGTCCAAAAATTATTCTATTCACTGTCCATAGACTGAAGCATGCTTCCATCATTCCTATCACCTACCATATACACTGTTTCACAATACAAATGCTATACCATAACTCCTTCTACTCCCTAACAGATGATACAATTCAGCATTTATTCTTCCATCAAGAACAGATAAAACTGTTTTGAGCCTGAAGCAGTTTATATTCTAAGCAGGACAAAGTATTCAAAAAGAAGTGAGAGAATACAATTACCTCCACATTTTCAGTTAACATCCCACTTTTGTCACCAAATGTCAAATACAGGTTTTTAAAAAACAGGCGCTTTACCAGGAAATAAGCTATAGTGTGATTTACAGTAGAGATGCCTATTAGCTGTAACTTCCTGTGTGTATTTCCCTTCCTTCTTCTACTCCATCCCTTTCCCAGGCTATTATCTCCCTTTTCTACCCCGGAAAAAAAAAAGCTACTTCACAACACTTATGATTTGCAGGTTCATATCCTAATATATTTTGCCTACCCTGTGTACTCTAAATATATAGACAAAACTTCTAAACATGCTCACAAGTTGCACTCCTTATTTTTTTAATAATGGCATACTAGTTGAGAAAACAATCACAGGAAATACATGTTTTCCACAGACTGAAACAAAACCATATTGAGGAAACATCTTGTGAAAGTAAGAGGGAAAAAAAACCCATGCTACTTGTGTCTAAAATCAAGAGGTCTTTAGCCACTTGTGTCCAAAAGGGAAGATGAAACAATTACTATCATTGTGTTCAAACAGATTGTAATACACTCATGCAAACTAGATGGTAATACACTAACCAACTGACAGTGATATTCAGGGCTTTCTTCTAAAACCCCAAATTTTCCCTTTCAAAATCCACCAATATTTTTAGGGTTGATGCATTAATGTACTGTCACTATATCCACATATATAATTGTCATTCATTAAGAAAGTTGGACACTAATATTTGTCAAAACTTTTTTTAGAACATATACCTCTGAAAAATTTAACATACTAGCATACAGTAAAAATACAGATTTGGAATCTAAAGATCTGCATTTCCTAGTATCCATAGACAAACTCACATACAAAGACTGATGATTCTTTATATTTTAGAAAACATGAATGAATCAATCACATCTTGCGGTTTCTCACAGCACTCTAAATAAAACATACATTTGGAAACATATTAAAAAACATGGTTATTGAAAATATGCTCTGCATCAGCAACATGGAGTATTTCTTTTTATATTTAATCAAGTTATCCAAATAAAAACTTGAAGTTTTTAAATTTTAATTCTAAATCTTGTTCATCATCAGCTTTAGCTAGAACCAGGCACTAAATTTAAAGTGCAAAGGAGACTATGACTTGTAAAGACAGAGGGGAAAACAGATGAAAGATTATACCAGTACATTTTCTAGATGTGTAATTACAAAATTCTAGACAGACATAGAAAAAAATATATTAGAGTATTAAATTTCTCTTCCCCTTTGTGAGTAAGGAATTATTTTATTATTATTATTTTATTTATTATTATTCCTGATAAACTGAAAGGAAGAAGATACCTCCAACATCTTCCCTATGAATCTAGAGACAAAAAATCATCTACAGAAGTAAATAAATTTAACTCATATTAAGAAGTAAAGTACATATTTGAAACACAGACACCCCATTAAAAAAAAAAAAAAGCAGTAAGTTTGAGCAATTAAACCAAAGAAAGATTAAACTGAAAACAGTTTTGTAAAACAATCATCTTAAAAAACTTGCATTGGAAGTAGGCCTGGCTGCTGCCTTTTACTATTTTAGATCTTGCCATATTAAATTACCAGCTTTGATGCTGTAAATTACATTTTTGTATTTGTTTTGCTTTTACTGTAAATTGTTCATCCTTTGAGATCATTTTTCATATTAGGTTTATACAAAAGCCACAGCAGCAGAGCTCAGCCTTTGATGGATAGCTTACTAACAACATCATACTAGAAGGCAAAACTGCAAAACCGAGATGAATCATCTCAGCAGAAGAGTTCTGTCAACTGTTCAGCTCAAACGTACATTACACTATACATGTTTTCCACAGGAAAAGGCTAGCCTTCCCCTCTACCCCATTTGTCTAACTACTTAAAGGCAATTGAAGGCTTTCCAGAAAGAACTGTTTCTGGATTTTACAGAATTTTCATTAAAAAAAAAAAAATCATGCACTTCACAGATGGATGAGATAATCCTTTCCATTATTATTAGAAAGAAAACATACACCTGCCTTGCCCCTAGCCTCACTACACATGAAGACTCTTGAAGCCCAGTGTGGGCTGCTCAGCATCCATCCAGGATTAAAGAAACTCCCATGCCAAGTCTGACCACTAATCAATAAAACCTACTATTTGGCATCTGACTATATTGCTCTTTTACTTTAGCTACTAAATAGGTTAGCGCCAACAAATCTGGCTAGTTACACAAATAAGAATATTCTTTACTTTTTTTACAATTAACAGTAAGCTTTCAGAAGAAAGGACTTTTAATTAATAGTTGTATTATAATATAACCTAAATACCTCCCTCTCAGTGAAAGACGTTTAGTACCACTGAGCAAGAAAAAAAAGTCTAAAATAACAGGCTAAAGGCTAAAATAATCGGACTATAAAGGCATGAAGGCACTTTAAAAGAAACTTGTTCTGCGTGCAGTGCAACTTATGTCGCACAGTTTCTTTTCCTGAGAGGCAAGAGGCTGTACAGGCTCCATCTACACTGGAGTTAGGCCCATGAAAACTGTTTGGCCACACATATAGGCAATAATTTTCATCTCTTCCTTTCCAGTTGCTTGTTTTCATAAAATAGACAGGAGACTTAATTAGTCTATGAAATTCTATACCCCTCAAATTCAGATGAAAATGACTAGCACAATAGCAAAGGGCAACAACCGTCAGCAAAACCCCAATTACATAAGCCTGGTTGCTTACTTCTTCAAGGTAATACTCAAGTCAGGACAAAGATGATATTCAGGTATATTTTAATGCCAGCACAAGAGAGACACTAATCAGATTGTTGGCCCCTTCTGAGCATGATGGACATCGGTAAATCTGCCTATAAACCCCTCTATGCACGATGCCTAAACAGGCACAGCTGATAATGTCTCATGGTTCAAAATAGCCTAGGGAAATTAAATCAAAGCATTGTTAATGCAAGAGAGGCCATTGAGAACTTTTCTGAAACATCTCATCAAAAAAGACCTGAGCCACAGGTATAGAGGAAAAGGATATATATAGACAACAAAAAACCACAATACTCCATTTCAGACAAAAGTATACCTTTTATACAAATTTTTATTTGCAAGAAGTACAATGAATTCTGAAGTGAATTAAAACTGTAGCACATTGAAGTTCTGTTGAGACAGGATGTGTCTTTTGAATTATCATTTTTAAGTTACCTGGAATGTTCTGATGATCATGTCAGTGGTCTCAACTTCTTCATTTACAGAGAAGTTTACAGGGTTTATGGTATGAAAATATAATTTGAGACAGCAGGTGAAACAAACTGTCTACAGTATGTAACTAGTCCCACAGAGTAAATGACATGAACAGAACTTACACAAATAGAAGGCAAATACAAATTCCCAAATACCTTCCCATTTCCCACATAGGACTGTTGGATTAACCCTGCTTTAGTCACTGGGCAGAAGAGATTGACACTAGGAGGATGATTACATTGGTTATCACCGATGAACAAAAATAAATCCAGAAAGAGAAATATGGGAGGAGTCAAAACCATCCTGCTTTAAGTTACTAAAATTAATGGGGATTTAGTTTGCTCAACAAAAGTAAGACAAAGTTCTCAGGTTCTACTGCATCTTGCAAAGGGCTGTAACCCTAAGATCAATTTTCCTAATGTAATAAAACACCAGAGAATTCAGTTAAATACCTAGAGACCACAGAATCACCACATTCTTCACAATCATGCCAGCAGCCACAACTGACAGTTCCATATTTTGTCTTCAAGAAAAAAGTAGGCAGATAAGAAAATAACAAAGTCAAAATTGTTCCTGACAGTCATTTATATAACACTAGCTCTGAAAGTAACAACCAATAAATTCAAACTA